ACTCCCAGAATGCTCTGATATCCTCATTCTTCATTCCTTGTTTTGCTCCCTTTCTTTTTCCTTATTTCCTGACTTTTCTCATAATTCAGCTCCATTGGTGGCACTCTGGATTTAAACGGTTGCTGACACCTGGTAAGATATACAACTCATCACCCCTTTTTACTTCTTTTTCTTATCATTGCAGTTAACAGATCATTTTGGGGGCTGGTTTGTTTGTTGATTATTAGAACTAATCAGTGCTCTAATCTGGGGGCACTTTGATCTTGGACTTCCCAGTCTCCTGAATTGTGACAAATAAATCTCTGTTTATCATAATTCCCCAAAATGAAAATATCAGTGCCTATGTTTAAATAAACATTATGTCAACTGACTTTTTAAGTAAAATGTGTTTCTTACCTTCTGCTAGTTCATCTACTGTATTTTCAACATTTTGATCTGTAGCCCAAGGAAAACAAACATAATTCTGTGGAACACTCTCAGAGAGACTCTGTAAAAAGTAATAGGGTGTTTAAAATTTTAAAAGGGATGCATCAATATTCCCTAATTTATTTCCTTTTAAAATCTCAATTTCTTATTTTAAAAGCAATTTCACTTAAAAATAAGTGAAGCATGTATAAATAATAAAAATATTTCAAGAGGATCTCATCGACACTTTCAGATAAAGCTATTATCTTCATGCAGCTCTTTGCTCTGGGCTTCCAAAGGAAACATATTCAAGGGGAAAATAGTAATATATGTGCACATTGACACAAGAACTAACTTCAAAATACTTAACTCTAATCTAAAGTTCCTACCAATAATATGATGGAATTAAAATACAACATGCTTGCTATCATACAAACATCATTAAACATTTAAAATATTGCTAGTGACAGAAATGTTTTAGTGCTAAAATAAGACAGTATGATAAGAATCTTGAGAGTATGTCATGCTGAGAATAAACAGAACATTTTCAAGGCTGCTTCATTTAGGTAAGCATAGACTTTTGAAAAAAGCTAAATAGTTTTGAGAACAGTTTTACTGACAGGAAAAAATGGTTGAACAAAATTATAAAGTAGCAAGTAAAACTGTTATGTTTAAATAAAAGCAACCAAATACTAAGTATACTACGAAATTCTTTCCCAGTTAAGGCATAACTTCAAAAACATATAGAAAGCCTTAATAAAATAAGAATATTTATTCATGAAGCATCTAAAATATGCCAAGCCTTCTCTTGCACTTTTTCTTTTCTATACACAATAAGTGGATGATGGTCACCCCACTTCCTGCTTTCTGATCATTCCAGGATGTTAGAGGAAATAATGAAGAGATCTCCAGAATGCCTTCCTCCTAGACAGTCACATGGCAGTCTCCTTCTCATCTTTAATCTGGGAACTGAAATGTCACATTCAGAAAGATCTCTGACTGTAGAATTTTGCACCCCTGTCATATGCACCCTTCAAGTGCCAAATCACCATACTCCAATAGGTTTTCTGCAGGAATAATCTGCAGAAATTTGACATCCTCCAAATTAGAAACCCACATGCCTGTGCTAATCTTTTCATTCTTTTCTTGACACTATTGCCTTCCGGTTTATTTTAAAAAGGGGGTCCTCAGTATTATTTTTTGGAGATAAGCTGGAATTTAATAGAAGACAAGAAAGCTCCCAGGCAGCAGCAGGAGGGGAACTGACAGAGGGCTGCCCGATCCTCAATATTTTTAAAATCACTGGATACCATTGTGACAACACTGTCTTACATTTGTGTACACATGTTCCAGCTTACAAAATGTTTGAAAATGTCTTAGCATATGTGTTTATTACACATACCTAAGGGGTAGATACTAGCACCATTTTTTAAATGAACAAGTTCACTCACATCCAAATAGGTTAAGTATTTTTTTCAAGGTTCCATAGCCAGGATACTAACATGTCTTTTGATTTCCACTCAGTGCTGGTACCACTAGGAAGCAGCTCCTTGTTTCCAAGAGGAGCGGCTCTTCCCTCTGTTTTCACCATTGTCATTTTGGAATACTTCGTTAATATATTATACCAATATTACTACAATGGCTGTTGCAAATGAACTCAATGCATTCCATTTTTGAAAGCGATTTTTACTTATTAAAACACCACTAACCCAAATTCCCCATGGTTGTCCTTCTCCTGAAGTGTTCCCTGCAGATCTATCCTGAAGAATCCAAATATATCAACACTTTCAAATTCCAGGTACTATCTTTTCCAGTCTCAAGTTGCAAAAAAATCACAGGGTGAATCTCATTAGAACTTTACACATCCAGGTTTACCACAGAATCATACATTTGGCTGTATTCTGTCCTGGAATAAGTCATTCTTTAGGTTTTAGATGAAGTTAACTTCAGAACACAAGTTGATTCTTCATGATTTCTAAGTCATATTATTATTATTTTTTGCACTGTACTACAATGGCTTCTTCAGTGAATCCTGCAAATTAGCAGGATTTTACCATACAATTTGTCACAGCAGAGGGACAAAACAAGAGATCAGGCTGAAGCCAACACATGAGTCAAGTCAGAACAGGACCTTTTCCTTTCATGCAATGGGGATCCACCCAAAGAAGCAGGTGAGTTAAGTCCTCACAAATACAGACTGCAAGGATGACCCTGTCGGCAGCATCAAGATAGAGGAATATGGGGCAGGGGGAGACACATAATTATTTTGGTAGTTATGGGCTGAAAGCTATAAGAAAATAATTATTGATGGGCTAATGCCTACAGTAGAAAGTAAAGTCAAACATGTTCCCTTATGTCTCAACATGATCCAATGCTTTTACTTTAAAATAACAACATAACAACAACAATATACAGTACCTCAGAATCGAAACTTAATTCCACATCTTCCTTTGGTCTTGTTTGTAACCTGAATGTCGTATCTATAAAATGTCATTCACAGAAAAATTTATAAGAACATTTATTATTGGAAATTTTAAAGACATACTCAAGTCTACATCCAGTCATGAATATTTTAAAACAATAAAACAAACAGCAAAAGCGACCTTCATAGAGTTGAAGGAGTTGTAGGAAGAAGTTGATAATATAAAGAAAAACAGCCACAAAAAAAAAACCCACAAAAAATGAACATTATCTAAGTCAATATTTGTCTGGGGATGGGGAGACACCCCTTATTAACAAGGGTGCCTGAACGATGTACATTCGTATACCTAACCCTTAACTGTACCCCACAATTTTATAATAAAAAATAGATTTATTAAAAAATGAACATTGTATTTGGGTATGCAAATATTAATCAGTTTGGGTATATAATAGGATTTACTCATAGAACAATTTTCAGAGGTGTTTACTAACTTACCACCTTGGTAATTTTTGTGCACAAAAATAAAATTGTCATTGTTTGTTTGCTCTTGTGGAGCACATTCAATATTACCAATACCATTTTCTATTGTTCCACTTGCTGACTTGGTTGCTCCCTCCTATTAAAAACAAAAAGAATATAAAAACAAAAAGAAAAACCAACATCAGAAAACATGTATTTCTTCACTTCCTCACCCACTCTGTCAGTTAGCAAGATGACAAATATTTACTGTGTTTCCCAAATCATGGGCACTATCCTTGCAGAAGTGAATACATAACTACAAGCCAGATGCTGCCTCATATTCAAGTGAAAGTAAACATATATAAAAATTAAAAATAAAGAATAAGTCACAGGTGCTACAATTAAAAGGGACAAAGTGCAGTAAGGGAACAAAAGCGAGAACAGTCAGTTCTTCTTGAGAAGCTCAGGCAATGCTGCAAAGTTAGAGCCTTATGCTCAATGACACACAAAGTGAAAAGTGAAGGTGTGAAAAGCTTCTAGGTTGGGTAGCATGAGCAAAAGGATGAGGCCTGAAACAACATAGCAAAAGAGTGGTGGCAACATGATGTAGTCAAAATGGAACAAAAATCTCATGAAATAATGTGGAGTGACAAAACAAGAGATCAGGCCAAAGCCGACACATGAATCATGTCAGAATAGGAACTTTCCCTTTCACACAATGGGGATTCACCCAAAGAAGCAGGTGAGTTGTCCTCACAAATACAGACTGCAAGGGCGCCCTGTCGGCAACATCAAGATAGAGGAATACAGGGCAGGGGGAGACACAACTCAAAAAGATTGCTTTCGAATGATATAAGGTGGACCTCAAAAAACATTAATTTATCGATTGAAAATGGGGTAATTATTCTTACATTTTAAAGCTTCAGTGACCTTCACAGTACTCTCCAATTGATGCAATACACCTATTGAGACATTTTTCTTACTGTCAATGTGGATGCCTTTTAGCACTTCCACTATTTTATTTTTGTTTTTGTTTTTGTTTTGAGTAGAGTCTCACTCTATCACCCAGGCTGGTGTGCAGTGGCACACTCACAGCCACGACAGCCTCGATCTGCTGGGTTAAGGTGAGCCCTTCTTCCTCAGCCTTCCAAGTAGCCAAACTACAGGCATGTGCCACCATCCCCGGCTAATTTTTGATTTATTGTAAAGATGAGGTCTCGCCAAATTACCCAGGCTGCTCTTGAGCCCACAGACTCAGGAAATCCTCTCACCTTGGATTCCAAAGTGCTCAGATTATAGGCATGAGACACCATGCCCAGCCTTCTACTGATTTTCTGTTTCACCTCTTCCACATCAGCAAAATGTTCTTCTTTGAGGACTTTGATCATCTGGGGAAACAAACAAACAAAAATATCTGAAGGTGAGATTGAGCGAATAGGGAAGTGATGAATGGGAGGGTCATGCTGTTTTGGGTCAAAAACTGCTGAACGGGCAATGCAGTGTGGGCAGGTGTGCTGTCATGATGAAAGAACTATTCACCTGTTTGCCACAACTCACAATGGTTCTTCTGCAAATCATGAGGCGCCTTCTAAAAATTCCAGCTAAAAATTTTTGTTTACTGTTTGAACCAGAGGAAAAAATTCTAAGTGTACAACAAGGAGCCTGCCCTCCAAAACATAACTCTGGGCTCTTTGGGTCCTCCTCCTAAGTCAGAGTGAATCAAGTTAACAAGATATGAAGAAAGGTAAGCAGGTAGAAAATACAGAAATTGGTCAGAGACTGGAATGGCAATGTGAGGAGGAAGGGCTGGAGTGCAGGATTCCTGATTCAGTGTTTTAGTATTATTTAGCAGGTGGTAATTTACTATGATGGAAAAGCCAGATGACAAAGATCATAAAGACTCAGGAAATGGTGAAGGTCAATATCTTAAGTTTGAGACATATCAAATTTGAGCCATCAGAGGACTTAGAAGGCAAATCCAAATAAATAGACTGGGAGTAGGAATAGTTCACGTATTTTCAGGAAAAGCATATGGTGTTAAGAAGATAAATTTCCTCACCTTCAAGTAGTTCATAGTAATACAAAAGTTTTTAAAATGATTATTTAAATAACAAAATATAAATAGATGTAAACTTAAAATTTTAGACCATGATACAAGAACGTTGAGTGGATACTTTTAAAAACTATAATGCAAGTCGGGCGCAAAGGCTCAAACCTGTAATACCAGCACTTTGGGAGGCCAAGTTGAGACCACCTTGGGCTACTTGATGAGACCTCATCTAAACAATAAATGAAAGAAAACTTAGCTGGGTGCGGTAGTGCATGCCGGTAGTTCCGGCTGCTTGGAAGGCTGAGGCAGAAGGATCACCGGAGCCCAGCAAGTCACTGCTGGGGTGGCTGTGAGTGTGCCACTGCACTCCAGCCTGGGTGATGGAGTGAGAATCCATCTCAAAAAAATAAATAAATAAATAAATATATAAACACACACATATATATATACACACACATGACACAAAATCTTCTGAAATTAAATTATTTACCATATGATTACTAAGAATATCTGCTTCAAGACCTAGTTGCCATCTTGAACAAAACATGTATTCTTCAATTAGATGAAGAGTTTAAAATGTGTGCTTAATAAAATTAATTGGAAAACACAGAGAAATCTTCTTGTAATATGGATTGAGAAAGGGATCCAATTTTATAGATTTCTACTTTTTTTCTCCTTTTTAAAAATCAGCAATGAGGTATTGTCATGTTGCCCAGGCTGGTCTTGACCTCCTGGGCTCAAGAAATTCTCTCACCTAGGGTTCCTGAGTAGCTGGGACTACAGGTATGAACCATTGTGCCCAGCTAAATTTATATAATTTCTTGTATTATTTTCATCTAATTACAGAAGTAAGGATAAAAGTAGAGAAAAAGCATTCTCCTAGAAATGATATAAATTCCAAAAAAAGAGATGTGTCCCAGAAAAATTTTGTGCTCTGTGCTGTGTAGTTGTGAAACTGTAAGGCATCAGAGAGATTCCATGATGACAATCATGAGTATCCAGATCCATTAAAGATTCATCGAGGCATAAGTATGATAAAAGTCATATTAGTGTAATTTAGAACTTACAGTAAGAAGACTTATTCAAATTAATCTTGACAAAATTTAATATTTTCTCTGGTGGGAAAGCTTTTTCTCATATTATTTTCCTGTCACTAGTTTTTTCCAACCCATTATTTTTTCAGCCTCCACCCTCTTAAAGTTTTGATCAATCCTTTGTTATCTGCCAAAGTAAAAACTAAGATTAGAAATCCAACACTCATATTACTGTCAAATGTTTTTGTCTGACCTACTACAAACATATAGCAATGATGATAGTTAGAATGCTGCTTGGTTTTAACAGTAAATAATAACCCACAAACTAGATTCAGATCAAGAATATTCATTCCTCAAAAGATCAATTTACCTTGGTGCCATTATCATCTGGTGTAGATTGTGGGTGTTCACTACTCAGTTTGCCGGAAAGCCTTTAGAGTAAAAATATATGACAAAAATGAGTGGGTTCATTTATTCAAAAACAAAACCTAGTGGTTCATACCTGTGTGACCTCACAAAGGAAGAAAACAAACAAAATCGGGGGGAAAGTCAGCTATCTGTATGTTAAATGTTGTTTCTTGATATAATTAAAATATAATCCCAATTTAGAAATGATGGAGTTAACCATTCTCATCTCCACTTCTCCCAACCTATGATGTATTTCAGGAAAACTCGACCTTAGTTCCCTAAGAACTAGTGAGAGTCAATAGTTTAGCAGAGGCTGACAATAATTCATCCTCACAAATTGTCTCTCCTGAAGCCTGAACCGAAAGTCCCATTAACGGCTAAAATAACTTTTGTTATCTGAACTGGAACTAACCTAATAAGCTAAACCAAGTTAGAGAAATATACTACCTCATCATCATTATCTGGTTCAGAGACTAATCTGTGTCAATGTAAAGGGGAAGCCTTGGTTTTTAGTCTCACCCTATCCCCCAGACTGGAGAGCAGTGGCGCACTCGCAGTCACCCAAGCATCGACTTTCTGGGCTCTGGTGATCCTTCCATCTCAACTGTCCACCATATGGCTGGAACTACAGGCGAGCGCTACCACAACCTTGGTTCTTTAGCACTGGAATCACTTAAGCAGGTCACATTGATTCCCCTTACCGTAAACCAGTATAGGAGTCCCCCAAAACGCTTGATATTTTGGTAAGCAGAATGCACAAAAGTCAAAGTACAAATGTACATTCTAGAGTGGGAATACTCTTCCCAGAATGATTAAAACATTCAAAATTATAAAATCCAATTAATTTCCCTATATAGATCGTGCCTTATTCAGGTCCACATAAACTAGCAAGTCCTTAAAAACCATCATAAGTACTCAGATACCCAAGGAGAGAGGCTGGTTAAAAATCTGAGTCCTGGAAGTTGTATCTCTACTTCCTTAAGTACTTTGAAAGGATGGGCTAAATGAACAACAGCAGAAGGTGTCCATTTCCCTGCCTCTGGCAAAGAAGTTAAGAATAGAGTCCCAGTCCCCTGCCTCCAGTGTAGGCTTGATAGCAGCTACCCAACTGAAGCTCCTTGGAGGGTTTGCCAGCCAATCCAACACCTACCCAACCCTACATGTACATGGGAAGGACATCAGTGAATTACAGAAAGAGGCAAATGTGGGGGGGCACCTGACCTGGGCCACAGATCTGAGGAGTATGGCAACCTTTAGCCCTCTAGTACTTAAGGTGCTCAAACACTCTGTAAGATGGGGGTTAGAAGTGCACGATACTATATTACTATCTACTGTAGAAACTCTTTCCAATGGCTCAAATTCTTTGAGCATCTTTCAATAGAAACCTTCAAGTGTATCAACTTTTCCAACTCAACAAACAAAACAGCAGCAACCTGTTCAGAACTCCCTTGGAACCCTTATTTTAATATGCCTTTTGAGATAATGCCCCACCTCCTGTAGCCTTCCATCCTATAAGTAAACTCTATCACACTTATAGTCAATCCCAACATTCAGATCTCTTTTCTTATTCCTGTACAAACCACTGGTGTTTCTCTTCAAACATGGCCTTCCTCTGCTCATTCCTTTCTTATCCACTTCCACTGGGTCCACCAGCCAA